TAGCGCGGACGCCCGCCTCTCTCCTTCTTCCTGCAGGGGGCCTGAGGGCGGGGGCGTCTGGGGGGGGGAATCTGTATCCCCCGGGAGTGGAGGGGGCCGGGGGTGAGGGGGGGCAGGCGCTGAGCCGACAGGTGCAAGGGTTTGCAGACCTGGTGTGCAGGGGAGGAGAGAGGGGCGAGCCGGGGGGGATACCCCCCCAAACACAACCCATCCACCAACGCGAGGAGTATGGAGGCAGGGGTGGGGGCAGGATGGGGGCGGAGAGGGGGGAAACGTTGTAGGCTCAGACACCCCCTTTTTCCCTCCCCCCCAGCACCTGAAAGCTCGGGGTGGAGCCCCCAATATGGAATCTGGAAGAGCCCGGAAGGGTTTTTGTGCCAAACTCTCCCCCCCTTCTACTCCCCATCCCAACCCCCCCGTGTTGCACGGAGGGTTCCTTTGGGGGGAGGTCCCCACAAAGGTGGGGCAGACATTGGCAGAGCCTGGAAAGGTGGGGTGGGGTGGGGGGCACAGGCTCTAATCGGATCGTGTCTAATCCGTCCACAGCCAAAGCCATGAGAGCTCGCATCTCACACGGCTCATCATCAACGGTGTGTGTGTGTGTGTGTGTGTGTGTGTGTGTGTGTGTGTGTGTGAATGTGGGAGACCCTCTGGGCAGCCTGGAGCCTGGAGAGTGGCCTTTAATTCTGGTTCCTTTTCTACCCCACCCCCTCCTGCGATGTATTTCTTCCTCTAAGGTGTCCTGGACCACCAATGCCCATCCAAGGGCAGATGTCAATGCCAGGCTGGGCTAATGTTAGTTTGGGGAGGGGGTACTTGTCTTCTGATCACAGTGTGTGTGTGGGGGGGTGCGGGTGGGGGGAATCTAGGAGACCTGTTTGTGGGAGAGGCATGCAGATGCAGTAGCTTATGACATCCCCTTCCCCCCAACCCCCTCCCCCAAGCCAAATTACCATCTATCTACCTCTTGATGTGTAACTTACTGATCCAAATGATTATGTTCAAGTCTCAGTCCCAGGGCAAACTCTGCTGCTGGTCTGAGAGACTCCCATTGGTCAGGCAACTAGAATAGAGACTTCATCTTTTAATATGCCTCCCCCCCACCACACACCCTATGTGTCTTGATGGGTTGTTTCATTTCTTTGGCAGTCTATTTGCCCAGCCTAGTGACCCCCCCCTCCCCTCCAGGACTGGCAAACTCCCTGCAGAAAAGCTAAGATCCTGTCCTACCGTTCCAGTCTATGAGGTCGGCTCAGCCTGCCCAGGTAGATTTCTGTCTCCAACTGGTGCCAGGTAGGGAAGTAGGCTCTGTAGGACCTAATAAAAGCATCAATGAAAGAACAGTAACTACCCACACCCTCTCAGCATTCCAGTCTGGAGCACTAAGCTTCAAGGGGATGACTTCCTATGGCTCTTTTTCATGACCTTGTGCTGCTTCTGGGGAAAAATAAAATACCAGTGGGAATACTTGCTCTTGGCTCACTCCTGTAATCCCAGCTACTCAGGAGGCTGAGATCTGAGGCTGGAGGTTGGAAGTCAGCATGGGCAGGAAAGCCTACGAAACTCTTCAACCAATCACCACAAAAGTAGGAAATGGAGCCGTGGCTCAAGTGGTAGAGTGGTAGCCTTGAGCAAAACAAACTCAGGGACACTGCCTAGGCCCTGGTTCAAACCAGAGGACCAGCACAGCAAACAAGAATCCCTCCTCTGCTGGGCACCAGTGGCTCACACTTGTAATCCTAGCTACTCAGGAGGCTGAGATCTAAAGATTGAAGTTCGAAGCCAGCCCTCTTATCTCCAATGAACCACCAAAAAACTGGAATCAGTGCTGTGGTTCAAAGCTCTAGCCTTAAGCACAAACAGGGACAGAACCCAGGCCCTCCCTGAGTTCAAGCCCCACAACCGACAGAAGAAAAAAAAAATCCCTGCTCCAAGCAGAGAACAAGGTAGGACTTTGTACTCAGCCAGAGACCACAAACACATCCTTATTTAGTCCATTTCCCACTGTATATATGGTGTTACTTTTTTTTGTGTGTGTGTGTCAATCATGGGGCTTGAACTCTGGGCCTGGGTGCTATTCCTCAGCTCTTCACCTCAAGGCTAGTGCTCTACTACTTTGAGCCACAGCGCCAAGTCCAGCTTTTTCTGCTTATGTGGTGCTGAGGAATCAAATCCAGGGTCTCAGGCATGCAAGGCAAGCACTCTACCACTGAGCCAACTTCCCAGTCCTGGTGTTACTGTTTCTGTCTCCTTGACTCTTGGATGATTTATCAAGAGTGGATGTTGGATGGGTTCATCTCTTCCCTTTCCTATGTGTTTCTATAGAACCTAGGTCTCTTCCTATCTGTACATGCTCTAAAGAGAGAATCTCTACCACTCATGCTAAAACTCCTATCTGGGCGCTGTCCCTCAGTTCTTCAGTTCGAGGTGAGGGCTCTACCACTTGAGCCACAGCTCCACTTTGTTTTCTGGTGGTTCATTGGAGATAAGAGTCTCATGGACTTTTCCTGCCGGGTCTGGCTTTGAACCTTGATCCTCAGATCTCAGCCTCCTGAGTCGCTAGGATTACAGGTGTGAGCCACCTGCACCCAGCTACTTCCAGCTTTTCTGGTGACTAATTGGAGATATAAATGTTAGGAACTTTTTTACTGAGTGGCTTGGAACTGGGATCCTCAGCTCTCAGCCACCTGAATAGCTTTTTTTTTTTTCCTTTAAAATTTCAAATCAACAAGCATATGGTACAAAATGTTGGATTATCTTCCATTTTTCTCCTTCCCTGGAGGCAAATTCTGTTACCACTTTCTCCAACTGGGGAATTAAAAGTGAATGTCATATTTTATTTCTGGGCACACAATTTTGGGAGGCTCACGAGAAAAGAAGTAGAAATTAGAGAATGAAACGACCATTTTCTACAGGTCCTGCTCATGTCCCTCTATTCCTGTGTCTATTTGGGTGCCAGAGATGTGTGGTAATGGCTTCTTCATGTCTGTTTGCCTCCAAAGCCAAGGCAGGCACAAGGATGATGGCTACTGCCTGTCACATCCCTGTGGATTAGAAAGCCACTGGCTTCACCAGGCTTCCTGCAGGGGAGGAGCTGCTCCACTATCAGAGGTGCATACTTGGGTTTAGACACGAAACATTGCAATTCTTAGTTTTGCATTTTTAGTATTAACCATTCATTATTTGCCTTATTATTATTTGCTGGTCCTGGGCTTGAACTCAGGGCCTGGGCTCTGTCCATGAGCCTCTCTATAGCTCAAGGCTAGTGCTCTATCATGTTGAGCCATAAAGTCACTTCCAGCTTCTTTTGGGTGGTCTATTGGAGATAGTCTCATGGACTTTCCTGCCAGGGTTGGCTTCAAACTGCAATCTTCAGATCTGTCTCTTGAGTAGCTAGGATTACAGGTGTGAGCTACTGGCACCTGGCTAATATTGTGCTTCTTAATCTCACAAGAGAATCAGGATGCATAGTTAGGAGCATCAATGGAAGACCTGCATGCTTCCCTGCCCACACATTGAAGAGTTAATGCTATGATCTGTCAAGAACAGGGAACTAAATCAAGAGTACACAGAGCCTTAGGGCTGTGGAACCCTCTGCTGTGATTTTCTGGTTGATGACATGTTGGGGTTAGGCTTAAACTTGTCTCAAGAACAGAGCTCAGGGATCTGGGACCTTCGTGTTGACCATAGCCTCTTTACTACAGGGTATCCTGGATTCTTAAACTAAGTCAGTGCTCTAATCTCAGAAATGGATACCAACCTGGAAGTGGTTGTCTAGGTAATGGGTTTGCCATCAGTTTGGAAAGTCCTTTGGAATGTCTATTCCTAACTCCAGAGTTAAGCCTGTTGGAAGAAAGCACCGTAACAAGCCAACACAGCCACAAATAGATTGTCTGCACAAGAGATCTGCTCGTTGGGGATCCTGTAACTACTCCAGAATCAGCTCGAGTAAGGCATGCCAAAATCCCTTTGGATGAGGAAGTCCCAACATTGTTGGGGCCAAAGCAGGCACAGAAATCAGCCTGGGCAAAAGGTGCTTACACCCCCTCCTTCCACCTTATCCAGTAGCAAAGGCATGGTACATGTTAGGTTGCTGTACAGTGGGGAGGCTGTTTTCCTCCTGTCATTTGTATGGCTATTTTGCTGAGGTCTGCAAAGTTGTGTACTCAGGGCAGGTGGCCGAGTCTCCCCTGAAGAGTAAAAGGCAGCTAACAGTCTCGGTCATGTGGCTGCTCCCGAGCTGGAAGGGCATTTCTAGAAGGCAGGCCAGCGGAAGCAAGAGGGACCCTAAAGGTCCCCAAGAATCAGAACAGGGCAGGTTGGTCTCAGCCGTAGTTGGTTCTAGAACGTCTTTGGGTTGGTTTGATGAATTTTATGCCTCCCTTTAGATACTCTCTGGTGTACTTCAGGTCTAGCTTCAATGTTCCCTAAATTCAGGATCAAAGGACTTTTCTTTTCCTGTAGTTTATGGGATCTGAGCTCTGGGCTTGGGTGTTGTCGCTCAGCTCTTCAGCTCAAGGGGCGTGGCTCTACCACTTGAGGCACTGCACCACTTCCAGCCTTTTCTGTTTATGTGGTGCTAAGGAATGGAACCCAGGGCCTCATGCTTGCAAGGCAAGCACTCTACTACTGAGCCCCTCAAAGGAT